GGCTGTCTCAGATGGGGGTGCGAATGATTGGCCAACTCCTGTCGAATAATAGTCGGTACCTCCCGTAGAATGATTGCCGACACCTCAGAGGATATTCTGGCTATAACATTAGCCATTTCAGCCCGTACGCACGCGCGAATATCTTCAATAAAGGCGGACCCATCTGTTGGCCTCACCTCCTCCGGGTGCACCGACCTATCATCACCCACAGTCCGAGCCTGCTTCCTCGGGTGCACAGTGTTGGCCGCAATTTGAAGTTGCAGAGCCGACATGGACGGCGGTGCCGACTCTTGTATACGGCGACTGGCCGGGTTAAGCCGTCGCAAAAATTGAGGCCCCTGAACAACATCCAAATTCGAGAGGTCCAACACAGCACTCTCCTCCTCATACGGCTCCAGCGTCTCATGCACCTCCAACTTGTTGTTAGCCGAGTTGGTCTGGATCGAACCGGATGCTCAACCTCTCCGGGTCGGGCCGAAGACCCGGTCTGGTGAGGAAGTGCCGAGCTGAAACGAGGATTAAAGATGTGTGGAATCATCAAGAGAACGCTCCCCCAGTCCGGCACATGGGTCAGTCAGGACAAGTGCCGGCCTGGATGGGAGCCGGACAGGAAGAAGACCATTCGTGGTCTCATGAACACGTTCAACTGAGGTGCCGGTCTGAAAATCTGAGAGGGCCGGCCAGAGGGAAGGTGCAGGCGTCAATTAGCATTAAGATATTTCCTTCCGGAGGGCCATCATTGGGCGATGGGACAAGTTATCATAGCCTAGTACCCTACAAGCGAACCTAGACAAGAAAGCCTGCCAACATTAAATGCCACCCCATGCTGACATTTAATGCCTGACAGGTAATGATTGAAGAAACCTCAAATCGTATTAAATGCATGTCAGAGGGGCGCCGGATTGCTCCCCAGGATCACTGTGCGACAAGACTGGTGAACAGTAGCTGAATAGTGCCACATTAAAGACTACTATAAATAGCAGCTCACTTCATTTATTTTGGGGTTGTTGAAATCCAACTAACTCTGCCTTCTCTCTACTTTCTCTCTCTAGAAATTGTAAGAAATTCGTTGTAAGGATTGTAAGTATATCGCAAGTGCCGACCTCGTACGAGAGGCCGACCTCGTGATCATTTAATAAAATCGTAATTAAACCGAGCCATTCTCCCATTTTTCAGTCTTTTGCTTTCGGCATTTTATTTTTAACCGTTGACCGAAAACGCTCGTCAACTGTTTGGCGCTAGAAGGAGGGCACCATAAGTCACTTGGTGTCAACTATTCGATCTTGTGAAGTCCCATACCCGCTCGTCTCCGTTCACTTCGAATCCCGTCCAAGATGGCCTCATCCAGCCACGACGAGTCAACCCAGCAGTCCGGCGCTCAGTCTCGCCGGCGCAACGGCGAAGAAACCTCTCGCCGCAACCAGCAAGGGACCCAAGCTCCCGCCCCTCCTGTCCTAACTTTTGCTGCCGCCATGCAGCATCCTGAAGTCCTCAAAGCCCTGGAAGGAGTCTTCGCCAAGGCCCTGGCAGCCCAGGCGCCTGGGGGAAACACCGTGGCGGCCACGGATAACCCCATCAACACCCTGCTCCAGACCCCCGACAAGGAGGTCGGGGGACAGCAGAAAAAACCCGCCAAATCCAAAACGACGGCTCAATCACCCAATCGCGCCGCCCTAGACCGACGCGAAAAAGGCACAAGGCCGGCACCCACCGAACAAACGGGTGAGAGTCAGCCAGATCGAAGCCTCCAGGTCATACGTCGCTCCGTATACCAGCGCCTGGGCGACAAAACTCAGGCCAACCGCGACCTCAGGGACGTGATTGAGCGGGGCAAAAACATTGGGCGCGACGCGGATGAAGTCGCGGCCCTCAAGCGCAGAATCGCCGAACTGGAGGGTCGGCGCTCTCCCCGAGGGGGTACATCACCGCCCCGCTACTCACAACCCATTCCTCGGGTCGTGGATCACGCCTCCCCCCTCTCTCCCGACATCCTGCGCGAGCCCGTACCCCAGAAAATCAAGGTGCCACAG